TATATATAGATAGATAGATAGATAGATAGATAGATAGATAGATAGATAGATAGACAGACAGACAGACAGACAGACAGATAGATAGATAGATAGATAGATAGATAGATAGATAGATAGATAGTATCTTGAAAATATCTAGTAAAATATTATTTACTGTCATCATGGCAGAAATAAAAAAAATCAGTTAATCAAAACTAGTTATTAAAACTATTATGCTTATAAATGTGTTCTCGCATTATAGTTAAGTGGGTTCTCGCATTAGCTAGAGATATGATTTACCTATCAGATGAATACAAAAACACATAAATAACCAGATTTCCTTATCTTCGCCGTGAGGAATACCCCCATCTACTCCTACTCCTTCCCCTCTTTCGTAGACTAATCCAGGACAGGGCAGCGTGGTGGTGCAGGGGCTAGCACTGTTGCCACACAGTAAGAACGTCACAAGTTTAAGTCCTGGCTGGGCCAGTTGGCATTTCTGTGTGGTGTTTACATATTCTCTTTTTGCTTGTGTGGGTTTTCACCAGCTACTCCAGTTTCCTCTCACAGTCCAACGACATGCAGTACAAGGGAATTGAATAAAACAAATTGGCACAGTATTTGAGTGTTTTAGTACTGGACATTCACTGCATAACCGTTGGCAGTTCATTCCGCTGTGGCAATCCCTAACAGGAATAGGTTGAGCGGACGAGTTCGGGGGAGCTCTCGAGACATACCTGAGCTCAGATTCCTTTCTCTCCCGATGAAACGGAATGGAGCTCAAGAATCTCCTGAGCTCAGGGCTCTCTCCCAGGACAGCATGCCAAACATGCTTTATTATCAATCATCAGCTAAGCGTGAAATCTTGAAACAGAAATTTGGGGAAAAATATATACCTGGCGGGGGGCTAATGATTCAGGAGGGCTAATCATTCTGACTTTGACTGTACATGGTTAATTACTATATATACTGTAAAAAAAAAAAAAAAATCCTGGTTGCCTTAATTTTTTTAAGCTGAATCAAATTAACCTCATGAGTCCATTGAACTTATATTATGACTGAAAATAGCTTGCATAACGTATTGAGTTAGAACATTATTAACTTACTATTATTAACTAAAATACATTACTATGATAAAAATGTTTGCTGATATTTGCTAATTGATCATTACAGTGTAGATAATTCTAACACTGGATCTTTACCCTCAACCCATATGGTACTTTCTAAGTAAATAAAGTGTAACCCTAGATTTTTCCCTAGACGTTTGTCACCTGAAAGTGCTACACTCAGAAATAAAGGTACAAAAGCTGTCGCTGGGGTGGTACCTTTTCAAATGGTACACTTTTATACCTTTCAAGTTAACTTTTTAGCTTAAAGGTACATATTTAAACATAAAAAGTACAATTGTATACTCCATAGTACCTTAAAGGTACAAAAATGTCCCTTTAAGGTACCAATGTGCCCCTGTATAGTACACAAGTGACAGCTTTTAACCTTATTTTTTTTGTGTGTAGAAACTAATAATGAACTGACATTCATATAAAACAAGTTTATTAGGCACACAAAATAAGTACCATAGAACATCGATCAATAAATAAATATTTTAAAAATGAGACGTTTTACAACCATTGGCCTTTGTGTTAATTCATCTCTTTTGAAAATTGCAAGACAACATTTTACAGGTCCCAATTATGGGATATCACAAAAACCTCTTCTGGCTCATTAAAAAACTGAAATAAATGAGCTAACCTGAAATAAATGATATAAAATTCCATCCTAAATTGTAATAATTCACTGCTCTGTGACACTTTCCATTATGCTCCAGGTTAATCAAATCTCACACGCGTTTTATCAAATGCTAATATGCTGGCAAGCTTGAGAAAACAAACAGTGAGTAATGACTCTCGCAACATTTACAAAGGTTTTAACAAAGTCATATCCAATATTTGCATTTTGTAAATTAAATGGCACAAATTGGAACTGTGGGAGTTTGATTTATGATCCGTCACTGGCACGTCTTACAGTTAAAAGTTTGTAAATTAATTGCTATTCTCATATGTCTAATTATAGGTGTCCGCCTCAAATTACATTAATTAATATCCATAGGCCTACTGGATATAGCAGCCAGAACCAATCAATTACATTTGCCGCTTCAGTTTCTTAAATTATTATATTTGTCAGAATATCACTGGCTCACACAACTGGGGGATACAGAAGACATTCAGACATACCAACATTATTAAAACATTACAGAAGAGGAGACATTTGTGATTAAGCTAGGAAAACTAAAGGCCAAAGCATGTCTTATTTTACACTTTATTTAATATCATAAATATTCAAAATATAAATATGAATATTAGAACATTAATATGATTGTTGTTCAACTATATGTTATTGAGTTAAGTAAAATAAATACAATTATAAATTATAATAAATACAAAAATAGGTATTTAAATAAATAAGTGCATAAGGAAAGAAGGGAAAACTAAAAAGAAAAAAATATCCTCCTTCTCGCATCATTTGAGGCAGATGTGAACCAGTTGTCTTTTTATTTTTTTAAGTGCTATTCCAGGTCTGGCTGTACCTGCGTGTCCACTGAGACCTGAGTCTCCTTGACCACTTCACCTTGTGTTTGCAGGCATTAATTTCTGTGTGACACGAGCTGGTGCCTGATCATAGCAATCAGGTGTCCCAAGAGCACGCATGTATAGCGGTCAGAATAACAACTGTGATGTCTTTTAGTCAACAGCAGATGGCAGTCTTGATCTATTTTGTCTAGCACAACCTTGCACCCTTGCCTTTTGCCTTCAGAGTGGTCAGACTTGCTATCAACACACAAATGATTTTTTTTTTTTTTTTTTTGTGTCACCTCAATGAAATATGTAATATAAAACAATCTGATAATTTCTAAGTATGAGAAATAGGTTTTAAAGATTAGTACATTTGTAGCTTAGATATAAGCTGAGAGTGTCTAACTACCAAAGCTGGGTTTTCTTTGTATTTATTTATTACTAATTTAAGCTGTGAATTTTATAATTCATTCTGCTTTTAACCCCAAAGCCATTCCAGCATGCTTTTTTTTTGTCCTACTTCTTAAGGCACAGAGCCAGGTTTCTGGTATAACGCCTGGAGTAAACAAAGTCCCCTTTTGTGACGCACTCTGGGCAAGTGACCCATTTTCGCCACATGTTAATGAAAAAAGAAATCATCTGTGCATGAAATAAATAAATACTCTCAGATGTTCAGCTACATCTCACATCTACATTAACAGATGAGCTTAAACTCGACACCCATCTTCAATTTCTCCAGAAATGACCTTGTCCTTCTCATGATTTTCTTGCTTTATTTTGTATGGCTGTGGGAAATCAATCTCCAGTTGTTTTCCCTCTATTTAATACGATGAGGGGTCAAGCACTGGCATTAATCAGAACAGATGCAGATCTAGGTAAGTGCCAATGGAGAGTCTCTAGAGTGTGTTCATATCTGCCGCACGCCGATGTTTCGCACGCTCTGAGCACAGAGGAAAGGAGACCAGACGTCAGGTGGAACTTTCTAACCCAGCGCTGTCATCAACACCCACACCAGGCCCGTTACAATTAATTTGCCATCGCCAAAAGGCCCTAGCACTTCAAAAAGCTTCTTATCCTGCTCCATCAGGCCCGGAAACATGCTTGCTGACTATAATATTCAAGGGGTCCTTGATTATGATTTCACTCATTTAATTTACTACATGTACACTGTAAAACCCAACAGTCAACTTTAGAAAATTAAATAAGTGTAGTTAACTCAAAATTGACTGAAAGTTAATTCTGCTGATTTGAAAAGTGTTTTGAACTCAGTCTTAAAGGTAATGAGTTAATTAAATACTTTAATATTTCAATTTACATGCAGTAAGTTTACAGTACTCATATAGATTAGTTTTTTTTTTTTTTTTTTTTTTTTTACTCAAATGGTTTGTTGCAATCAATTTCCTCAAACGGCTTGAGTTTGGCCTTAATTTATTGAGCTTTACAGTACTCAGTTGGTTTGGGTTCTCTTCATTTATTGGGTTTTACTATTCTCAAATTGCTTCGCTTACTCGAATGGATTAAGTTCACAGTACTCATTAGGATTTTTTCTTTTTGGTTTGTCACAATCGGTTTCCAACGGTTTGAGTTACCTTAACTTTTTGGGTTTTACAGTGTAATGTTGCTTGGTGAGCACAAACAACATCTGCAAGTTACGAGACTAAAAAGTAAATGTGAAGGGAAATATTGTCCTTTACAGAACTCACTTTTTAAAGGTGCCACAGAAAGAGAGTCTTGATATACCTATGCATAGTTAAAGAATAATAGTTCAGTACAAGAAAATAGATGTGCTCATGCAAATCAATTGAGTATAAAACAGGCCACATAGAACAAAACACTGACTTTAAAGTTTCACATGAGATCATGTACACCCCAGCAGCATTTGACTGGCCACAATGTTAGTGAGTTTACAACAGTTTGTATTTTGTTATCTTGTATTTTTTTTATTTTTATTTTTTTAAGTTTGACAAAGCTTAATATGTGGGACTCTTATTTTGAAAAAGAAATCAGCCATTATAGAGCTCTCAGGTAACCAGGCATGTTGGCTGTTTCTCAATATGCATTCTTTAGCGGTCTTGCATCCTTGTGTTCTTGTATAACGTCATCATCAGCTGCCGAAGTTCAGTTCCAATTCTCAAGACCGCAAGAACAGAGGACACGTGAAACTTCCCGGATGTGTTCTTGATATCGAGGACGCATCGATGCAGACTTGAGCACCATACTCGCACTAAAATACCCAGAAGTCATTGCGACTGGAGGTGATAAGTGCAGTATTTTATAGATTTATTATTAAAGTTTAGATATATCACTTTTTTACATCAGGAGTTCCCCTAAATGAAACAGTGAATATAAACATTACCAAGGACATCTTAATAAAGGAATAAACACATTAAGGGTGTTTGTTTGCTGAAATTCATATGAAAATCTGTTTTATTTATATTGTGCAGTGTATATTTATAATGTTTTTATGCAAAGTATATATTTTGAAAAGGGGAAAATCAATAAATCCCTGTATGAATTATGTAATATTTAAATAATTTTCCATTTAAAACTTGTGAATGTCACGTGACCATCAGGAAGAACGCAGCATCTCATTTCTTACAGGACGTGTTCTCTGTCCTTGTGGTCTCCCGAGCTTGTTCTTCTGAGAACACCTGGCAAGACTGTCTCCACAAGAATGCAAGTCCGTTCTCTGCGTTCTTGGAATTGAGAAACAGCCGTTGCCTCTAATCTCATCTGAGCTCATTGCCAAAGGACATAATTCAGGACAAACTGATTATACAAGGTGATTAAAAAAAAAATACCACAACTTTCAGGTTGATGTCACTCGAGTGTCTGGAGGGGTCATATTGGACTTCTATGAACTTGTTTTTTACTAAAAAAAACTTTGTTAAGTACTCTTTATATTGGTTAATTACTCAAGGTTTCATCATGTTTCTTTGATGAAATACAGGTTTTCAAAGGTTTGGTATTTTTTTTAATTACCATGTATATTTATTCAGCCCCCAAGCCCCTGAAAAAGCATAAGGTCTGTTTAATGACTTTGTATTTTCTTAGGTTGTTGTGTGCTTTGTGAATTTTGCCATGTATGTTTGTACTGAGACAATATACGTGTGTTTGTAATAAGGCAACATACACATGTAAATACACATGTAAACTGATAAAAAAAGGGTTTAAGGGATGTTTATACATTTTATCACTCAGCTTAAGTTTTTCCTTTTTTCCACACCACTACATACATTCAATTAATATGCTTACCTATCTAACCCTCCCATTTTTCCCGAGATTCTCCCATATTTTACAATTAGTTTGCGCTATCATCCTGTTTAAGTATTTTCCTGTATTTCTCTTTTTTTTTTTTTTCCCTATGAAGGCTGGTAATAAACATCAAAGAGCCGGTTGTTCCTATACGCAACCCATACCACCGAACCACCAGGTAACACCCCTTGCTCCTAAATGTGAATCTGTTCTGCTTTCATTTTATTTCATGGAAACACTTAAAATAAATATAAATACTGCATGATTCCCTTCATTTCCATTACAGGTGCTGTTGCTCCTATGCAATCTTCAAAACAGTCAATTCCTGTAGCGGTGTGTGACTGTCAGCTGCCCCATAGTGATAAATAGATGCTGTTTCCCAAATGGACTCTGTAAATGCAATTTGAAGCGGAGCAAAAGTGGACACTCTGGATTTTGGGTTAATGTTTGAACAGACATTTACACATAATAATATAATAATAATATTAATGCAGTGCCATTGATGCGATCCAAGACTTGTGAAGATATGATCCCAAGGTATTCATAATCTTGGACCTGATGATGGTCATGGAGGAATGGAGTACATGAGACTGATTGCGGAAAGAGCACAGGACAAATGAGTCCCTGCATTGAATCCGTGGGCCAGCCTGACCTCCCACCAGTGCCCTACCAACACCTGCAGCTTCTCCACGATGGACATCCTGCTTCTCCAGCCTCCGGTGCCTAGACTGCAGCTCCACACAGGAAGTTTGGCCGGAAGAATAATAGTCATGCCCAACAGAGCCTGGTTTCTCTCAAGGTTATTTTTTTTCCTTCACTTTGCCAATTGGTGATTTTTTTTTTTCCTCCCACTGTCGCCATGCACTGGTTTGCTCAGATCGGGACGTGTGGAGCTGCACTCTAGCTGGGAAACAATTTTTTTATTAAATAAGCATAAAAAGTTAGGAAAGCAATGGAATGCTTTCATTACAGATTTGTGCAATTTTAAAGTGACACCTCTGTTAATGTCAGCAAACGAAAAATCTAAATCCCTTATTTTTACATGCCAATGTTGACAGGTATTCAAATGGTGCTAAAATGAGAAATTAAATGTCGGGTGGTTCATGATTTTGACCTCTGGGGACCAATTAGGGACTACAATAAACTTCATTTTGGGATTGTAACATCAAGAACCATAATATTTACAAAAGTCCTACCCCTACGTGAAACTTTTTCTGAAAACATGCAGAGGCTTTAGGAGAATCAGAACACAGTGGATCAGCTTACCACTCAGAACCCATTGCATAACTCTGAGGAACCAAGAAGTCAACAGATATTTTTAGGTGAAACAGAAGATAAATAAAAATAAAATATGTGAAAACTTTTTTAAGCATGAGCACATGTGCATGTGCACGCTATGAACACAATCAAGCCTCAAAAAATAGCTTATTGGCCACCTCTTTAAATCACCTTACAGTACGTCTGCCAGCAATGCCAGCTGTTGAATGACAGCAACATTTAAGATTTGATTCAAACCAATTATATATGCATTTCAGTGGCATATCAGTCACTTTCATTCTTGTCATCAAATGACCTTGCTTCCGCCGAAAGCATCTCCTAATGACACCATAAACTTGCTTTCAATATTAGAAAAAAAAAGTATATTTTCTGTCTGCTTGAAGTCTTAAAAAGCACAAAGAAAAAGGGAGCCTGGATAAACTTCATCCAGACAGACCGCTTCTTTATCTAAATGGAATCAGTCACCCAGCGTTATTAAACAGTGAATGGACACGCTAGAATTGTGCGCTTTGTGGTGCTGCGGCAGAAATAGCCTGCCAGCGCGCCTTAGTGAGCCACGCTCATATTTATTTATTCGGCTGTACCCAGAAACACATCTGATGCTCCTGGGCAGTGGCCTCTTCCTGCTATCAAAGACCATCCCCCAATGCAGTTCAAAAGATGGATGGTCTCGGGGGTGGGTCGTCATGAAAGGTAAGATCAAAAACACAATGGGCCGTCCAGCTGCCCAGCCGGTCCTCGAGAGGAAGAGGAAGGGCTGCTGATCTTTGTGGGGGGAAAGTTGACAGGCTTCATTTGTCAGGTCTGCTCAAGCTGCCCTGCCCTGGCACTCGGTATCGGCTCTTTATTGCAAATATGCCTTTATAGGAGATACTAGATACACTTAGAGCATATACAGTATATAGAAAATAGTTTAAAAAAAAAAAAAACAATTATCTGAATCAGATTATTCCAGATTTGGAAATCCCATGCTTTGCTATCCAGGATTAACTGATGTTTTTTTACTTTTATGATCACTGTGATCCAAGTACTAGGGCTGGCCGATTTGGCCTAAAATCGAAATCTTGATTAATTGAACATTTAAACTTGATTACGGTTAATTAACGATTATTTTATTTATTTATTTATTTATTTTATCGTTTTGCCCTCATAGTTCAATGACAAGTTTTGGACTGTAGGCTATATATGAAGAGTTCAGATGCAAAAACCTTTAAACCCATTAGACCTCTTTTCTTGTAAATGAGCATTTTCTATCAGGCTCCTCTGATAAGATTTAGAAGTTTCATTTTATATGTAAAAAAAAATTATTAGGCAAATAAAATACCTTTTTTTCAAATTTGTCATTTTAGATAATTCTTTGTTTTTTAACAATGTAAATTTTGTTTTGCGCCAAAACCAGCTAAATCCACGTCTGCTTTATATGCAAAACCCTCTAAATCCATCTATTGGAACAAGACAAATACTAGGACTGGGCGATTTGGCCTAAAATCTAAATCTTTATTGATTAAACATTTTAAATTGATTATAATTAATAAACGATTATTTTATTTATTTATTTTATGCTTTTGCCCGAGTAGTTCAGTGACAAGTTTTGGACTGTATATATGCTCATTCAAGTGAGAGATTTTCTTAATGAGGAATGCTTTACTTGATTTTAAAATTGAATCAAACACACACTATCTACTATCTATGATCATTTATTGAACATCAATGCTAAATAACTGAAAATAAAACACACAATTGCCTAAAATGCGGCTCTCTGCGCCACTCACTGTCGTCACTGCTACCAAACCAACTAATCACAAAGCATGCGCTACGTGTTGTTATGACATGTAAGTACATTTTTTGAAAGGTGCACGGGTATGCGAAGGCTGTGCTGGACTGCACATGTGCCCTTGGCAGAAGTATAATATCATAATAATTTAATAGGTATAAATCATAATTTACATTTATTTATTTTCTTTTTGGGTTATAGTCCCTTTATTAATCTGGGGTCGCCACAGATTGAATGAACCACCAATTTGTCTAGCATATGTCTTACGCAGCGAAGCCCTTCCACGTACAGTAGGGAAAGTAGTTTAAAAAATTGACCTGGAAAGTTTGATCGATTATTGGTTTTGAATGCTAATTTCGATTACTTTTCGATTAATTGCCCAGCCCTACCAAATACCAAATTTCAGGATTACCAAATCCTTCTTACCAGAGCCTTAAATGGAACCAGCAGTGTAGCCTACTGGTTGAGCAAAGAACAAAAGGTAGGCAAAATACTATTGGCCACTAACAGCCATTGTTTGTTTTAATGGTACGAAACAGAAATACTGCAATCATTATTTTGCTCTAATACAATACTGCTTCGATATTGTTATGATGTTGTTGTTGTTTACCATATCTAATATATTAGATGTGACATGCTTCATTTAGACTTCAAACAAGAAGGAATTTACATATCATCAGTAACCATTAAGTTTGTGATCATTCACTTAAAAAACAACACTTTTTTATATTTGATAAAACATCACAAATGAATCTACCTTTCTGATAGGATCACAAAAGTCATGTTTTGTTTTTATTCTTTTATCAAATAGATCCCAATCTGAGTTCAAAGTTTTAAATAACCCAAAAGGGCAGGCTTGATTCAAATCAAATGATTAGATTACATGGTCTGATCTTAATTCAAAATCCTGCTGTTATTTTGGAAAAACCCATTTCAAAGATTTGATCCAATCTGTGATCCAAAATACCAATTGATTTCTTTGTAAAATCTGGGCCCTGGAAATTAGTTATCTGTGTTTTATTCATGACATGAGTGTTTAGGTCAATAGGTTTTTACTTATTACTTAATTGAGTGATTAAGAAAGTAATTAATACGTTTTTAAAGCAAAGCTGAATCATATTTGCAAAGGTGGCAACAAGCCATTTCTTTAAAAAAAATATTTTAAAAGAATGTGTGCAAGCTGCATTATTGCAGGCTAAAAATACATGACAATATAAACAAATAAATTGCTCTATTGCAAAGTTTTAGTCAGGTAACAATTTAAGTTTAGTATACATAGAGTGAGTGTAATCAGAAAATACCAAAGTGAACATTAGTTTAGAAATAGCTTAGGGAAATCTGTATTCATACTTACAAATCGTGAAGTAGAGGTACTGCATTCTGAAGCAAACTATACGATAAATATAACGAATATCCAATTGTGCAGTTGAATGCCGACGGTGAACCCCACAACCTGCACACCAACCACCAATCAAGTATGTATGTATGCATGTATGTACGTATGTATGTATGTATGTATGCATTTATGTATACAGGGGCATCAGAAAAGAGTGACTGAGTCCATGGGGAGCTTGTATTTAGGGGGCCCTGAATGGACTGGCTGCTATAGAAGATCCTAAAATAGCCTATTGTGATATTAAATGTGTACCATGCACATGAGCAGTGTCAAAGGACCCTTTTTACTGTTACAATGTGTTTAACGGTCACAATCTTAAATCCTTAAATGATTTTTAGTATTTTTATGTAAAAAAAAAAAAAAAGTATGAACATTTAGCTTATTTTATGAATGTGTTATATCATCGTTGCGTCAAATTACAAAAAACAAATGACCACTTATACAAGGTCGTTCTAATACAGTGTCTATGGGGCTCAAAGTAAATTTGACATTATTATAGACGTATTGTGTTATTAAATTACCCGATAAATTATTTTTTTTTAACGTCTACTCCTGCCCTAACCCTAAACAAAATCTTCACAGTAATGTAAAATTATTTATTATTCTTACAGTGTCGTAAAATGCTGCAATAAAAAGAATAAAGCTGGGATTTTCAAGCTTTCCTGACTGAATTTACTTTTGACTCAGTTGCATGACAGCAGGCTAAATTAAGTTGATTTAAGTTACCATGGAGATTTATTATTTGCAGCTAGCAAAGTGCAGACTAATAATACCAGTAACAGTAGCGTATTGCATAGAAGTTACATCAAGCCAGGATAAAGGAAAAAAAATTGACCTAATTTATGTAGCTTAGTCAATTGGCTAAGTCCGTCGCACTTTTACTGATCTAGAATAAGAATGAGCCACCATGTCAAGCCTACTATTAGCCAGGGTACTGTAAGGGTGCTTCAACAGACTAGGAAATCGATCACAGAATCAATGATAATTGATTATGGCAAATATGGATATAATCCAATGTGAGCCACCAGGTAACAAGTTGAAAAACACCCCATTACTTTTATGCAGAGATTTTCTGAAAATATATGAGAAGATGAAATGTATTACCATTTCTTAAATGTGACCAGTGGACTTTTATGAAATTTATTATGAAGATCATTAAACATTTACCCAAAATTGCACATCTGTTTTCTGTTTATTTTATCCTTATCTATATTAACCATTTTAAGGCCAATATTCTTAGCCTCCTTAAAGAAAAAAAAGGTCCTTTTGGCTACAGACCAAACTATTGTTGTACAATAGCTGGCCTGATTGCCCCTAACTTGCCTAGTTAGCCTAAGTAACCTAGTTAAGCCTTTCTAATGCACTTTAAGTGTATATTTAAGTGTATATATTAGTACTTTAAAATATCCAGTAGAATATTATGTACTGACATCATGGAAAAGATTAAATAAACTAGAATTATTACAGTTATTAGAAATTGGTTTCAAAATATGTTGAAAATCTTAAATATAAAATAAGTATAATTAAAAATCTACAGCTAATAATTCTGACCTCAACTGTACAGTATGTATGTATGTATGTATGTATGTACAGTGCAGTGCAGCATAAATATGCACACCC